TGTTGTGGTGATGGTTTGGAGGCCGTACTCGCCTCCAACTTGACCCATCGCACCTTCTGCAAGTGCTGCGTGTCAATCCAATATCTATCTGGATTTTTTCGACCACGTTGAGGGAGGGGGGAGGATATGCAGCCTACAAATGTAATTTATTACTACTGTTATTCTCATTTGGCACGGATCTGCGACTTAAAAGGGCAATGCAGGGTGTCGGGTGCAACAGTTCGGAATCATGTGATAACCGGACTTGCATGCAGAGCAACATCGCACATACGCACGCGCACCCGGATATGTGTACACCCTAAGCACATCCATATGTCCGTTTTTTGCTTCTTATGCTGCACTGACAAGGAAAATACGGAGTTTATCGATTCATCCTTGGTATGTCGTTCTTCACTCCGTTGACAGGTTCTTTTTGAGATCTTGAGGGTGGAGTGGGGGGCACTTTACGAAAAATAAACTCAGCTTAGTTGGGCTCCAGTATCCAGAACATTGGTGGATCAGGCGAGAACACACCGACCAGGACGCTCGGTCAGTCAGCCGGAAGCTAATGCAAGTTATTAAGAGGGCTCATACCCGTTATATCCCCCATTTGTATGTATGGAATAGAAGACAGACAGGATAGCAGAAAAAAGTTTATTGCAACAGTATTTGTGTGTACATCAGCTTCTCTGTGTGTGCCTCAACTTGTCCGCGTGTCCGTCAAGTTCTCTCCGCGTGCAGCAAATCGTCTCTGGGCGTGTCAAGGCGTCCAAGTGTGCAGCAAGTCCCGCCTTCCGTGCGGAACCTCGAATTTAAAGACAGTCGACCCTTGCAGACTGTCTCTCTTATGATTGGTTGATCCCCGGAGACGAAAAAAGGCAGATTTAAGAACATTCGTAATCAATACACTTCGTTTTAATAGACGACTACATTCAGCGAAGTGAGAACAACTCTTAGCAAACTTTTAAAGAGCCAGATATTCACAACTTATCTTGAGGAGGCGATTACTTCATCTGACAGTTTAAACCAAGCTGGTCTGGGCCCTTGAAAGGTTGACTAGACACGCAAATTTTGTCCGCGCCATAGAAAACTTGTCAGTTTAGGCAAAGTTGTAAATCCCCGTTGACGGCAGGACCGCGCACATTATGGGCCAAATTCTTCCACGAGACGCACCTTCCTAAATAAGTTCGTCTTAGTCCACTAAGTAGTTGTGTGAGACATCTACGAGGATACACTATAGGTAGGACTGCCGACAGGAAAGACTTGTCAGCAGGATCAATTTGCACAAAACTCCATATACAGCACTACTAGTGTAGTTGGTGGATATCGTCTTAAAACAGTTGAAACGTCGGTGTTGCGGGCCAAACTGTCTTTATTTCTCGCTGCTTTTCAAAGCGCCTTTAGCAACCCCGAAAATTCGTAAAACTTAAGTGTCTCGACCTAAAAAGCGCTGTTTTGTCACCTCGGTTGATCTACGAATGTGAATTTCGGTAGCGCTCAGTTGTCCTTCCTCCTTTCTAACTAAGGTCAACGTGATGAAGAGTTTAAAGTGAATCGTAGGAAATTCTATTTTGCCGTAAAGTTTGTTAAGTAAACTCGTGTATGTAAAATAAACGTTTCACCACATTCGTAAAGAAACGTCAGTACATCGCTGTCGTTTAAAGTTTTAAACAGAGGTGTCAATGGAAGACATTTTACTGAGCTTTGTGCAACAAAACTGAAAACGTTCTTCGTTTATTGTTTCAGGTTCTGGACGTATCGTATTCGCGGACAACAGAAGTTACATGAAGGCTGTAACAGCCAACTTTGTGGAGGTCCGAACACCAAAGTTCACCAAGACCCTTCAGATCGACCCCTTCCTGGAAGATTCACCCTGCAATAACTGTCTTAACTCACCAGGCATCTACTTTTGTCGAGCATTTGAATGTTTCCGATACTTTTGCCCTAATTGCTGGCACCAGTGGCACAATGTGACCGAATCACTCTCAAACCACAAACCTTTACGCCGCAGTCTTAAGCCGTTCGTCGATCGTTCGATCTAGTCATCAGGTGTCTTCCACTTCTTTGTGAGGATGAAGTAATCATAAATAATTAATCGTTCTTATTATTGGTGAAGTGCATCGAATGTATTCGATTTTACAGGTTTTCTCGTGTTTGAATTACCCAAACAATTCAACGTTGATGTGTTTTTGAAATCATTTTACCTACTCTTTTACTTTCTCGATCAAAACGAGAGCTTGTAGGTAAACCCGTTTTGTGTATGTGAAATTATCACGCCTTTCCACTCCTTCCTTCCTACAATCATCGAAACCTCTTTTTTTCTGTGAGAGCCCTTTCCCTCCAGTGTGACAGAAGAGTAGCCGAGTGGTCCTGTCTGATTTCCTTCTTTTAAATGCGATTTGCAATTTCTTCAATCCACATCAACTGATATCTGCCTTTTTATACTCATCTGTTATTTTTGTTACACGCACGTGCAAACATATCATATTGTCTGCAAGTCGATTAACAGTTCTGAAAAGAATTCTCCTTCAAGGCATCCATTCTTCTCTTGCGACCGGCCGTTCGTGGGCATTGTTGTCGAGAGGAGGGGGAGGGGGGAAGGGGGTTACACACGTTTTTTTCTTCCGAAAATGGATATACTGCTGCTGTTTAATTTCCTTAGAAATTCGTCGCTAACTTCAAGTAAATCGGTCCGAAGTAAGATTTATAGGCAGTGGTCTAAAGTTGCTACGCATATTTGGGTCAAAGTCCGTCAAACAAAGCAGAATAACTACGTACTTTTGGCTAAACGGTCAGCAAGCAGCTACTAATGAGTCAACCTTCTCGCAGCTGTGTCATGCAGCCGTAGAATATCGGCGAAGCACGTGTCTGGACTTGAAGGCAGCACCTGTGTTGCCAGTATGGTGCATCGTCTAACCTCAAGGGGTTTACCCTTAGCATTACGTAACACGCAGCTTAAAATAGACCGGAGAAAAGGTGTGTGCATATAAAAAAAGCACTGTTAGGGGATACGATAATGTTGGTTAAAGCTGTAGATAGAAGAAGGTAAATCTATTCACCAGTTTCGTCTGCAATCTCAGAAGCACCATCAAAATACCTGCTCTATAAATGCGCTTTAAGTAACCTATTTGGCCTGGACTATGCCAAGCCGGCCTCTAAACATATCGGCATGTACTAGTCTGGGGTTAGTTCCATGGCTATTTCCTCGGTCTGGCAACAAAACCAACCAATACAAATTTAATCATAAAAAGCGCAGAGGTGAAATTATCGTCTTGGCTTGTCTACTGGCATCTTGAGGGGGATGCTGGGGCGGGTGAGATGCACAGGCAAGGACTGGTTAATTTATGGATCCTGGTGCATATGGTCGTTGTCATGTGGACCCTGTGGCGCGCCATACCTCGCCAGCTGCCTCGGCGTGTGGGCCGAACCATATGGGGAAGTTGGCCGAGCTTCCACCGCAAGGCGAAACCGTGTTGGCCTGTGGG